TTTTTTTTTTTTTTCCTGAGACAGAGTCTTGCTCTGTCATCTGTCACCCAGACTGGAGTGCAGTGGCGCAATCTCAACTCACTACAACCTCCACCTCACAGGTTCAAGCAATTCTCCTCTCAGCCTCCCGAGTGGGGCCTTAGATTTCTTACAGTAAAATGGGGATGACGATAGTTCCTACCTGATAAGATTGTTGAGACGACAATGTGGGTTAATATGTAAACGGCTCACCAGGCATGGTGGCTCGTGCCTATAATCCTAGCACTTTGGGAGGCCGAGGTGGGTAGATCACTTGAGGTCGGGAGTTCGAGACCAGCCTGGCCAACCTGGTGAAACCCTGTCTCTACTAAAATACAAAAAATTAGCCAGGCATGGTGGTGTGCACTTGTAGTCCCAGCTACTTGGGAGGCTGAGGCAGGGGAATCACTTGAACCCGGGAGGTGGAGGTTGCAGTGAGCTGAGATCACGTCACTACTCTCCAGCCTGGAGACAGAATGAGACTCTATCTCAAATAAAGAAATAAATATGTAAATGGCTCTTGTATGTGCCTGGCAAATGTTAAGTGTTTAAAAACTGTGAATTATTTTGTGAAGAGCTGTTACGGTGAAGGAAGTGTAATTGAGTTTATAATGTTCTAATAAAAGCAACTTGGAAGCAGGTTTTAGATTCTTTTTGTTTTTTGAGATGAAGTCTCACTCTTGTCCCCCAGGCTGGAGCGCAATGGCGTGATCTCGGCTCCCTGCAACCTCCTCCTGGGTTCAAGCGATTCTTCTGCCTCAGCCTCCCGAGTAGCTGGGATTACAGGCGCCTGCCGCCACGCCTGGCTAATTTATGTACTTTTGGTAGAGATGGGGCTTCACCATGTTGGCCAGGCTGGTCTCGGACTCCTGACTCAGGTGATCCGCCCACCTCGGCCTCCCAAAGTGCTGGGATTACAGGTGTGAGCCACCACGCTCGGCCTGAAGCAGGTTTTAGATTCTTTCAGCAACACTCAACTGTTATTTATCGAGCCCCTATTATGTCCCAGGGCCTTAGAAATACAGCATTGAATAAAACAAAGTCCCTGTCTCATGAAGCTTATGTTCCAGTGAGATAGTTTTAGGGTGATATACTAGCAGAGGCTGAACAGCCCTGTTGGAGGGAGATTCAAGTTGCAGGGACCTTCCAATTTAGCCTGTTGACTTCATGAAATTCAGTGGCTCGTTGCCTTAGTCTGTAAGAAGCTTTGTTGGCTGAAACAAGGCCAGTCAGGTGAGTTGTACATGTTCCAGCTGCTTCCTAGCAGGGAATTCCTGAGGGGCTTCAGGGGGTTGAGATCCTTAGCAGATTACACAGTGTGCCTCCCGCTTTGCCCCATTGTGGTATATTTATTCGGATTAAATCTGTATAACAAAGTTATTTGAAAAGTTACAGTATCAAGACAGGTAGAGGGAAGAGGGAAAAAAAAAGTCTTGTGTTACTTGATAGGAAAGACTAAGATTTGGAGCAGACTTTATATAGAGGAGACTCAAGGCATTTTGTAAAGAATGTTTTCACCTACTGGGGGTGTCACCTCCCCTTAGACCCATTCTTGTCATCATCCAGCCTATGACTGTAACAGAATAGAGCCCTCCTGCATCTCGCCCACACCCCGAAAAGTCCAGGACTGACTCTTCCTCCCCACACTCAGTAATTGCTCTCTTCTGGGACAGCTATGTCCTTCATGGTTTACTTGTTATTTTAATGACTTTAAAGAGTGCCTACTTTGTACCAAACACAGTGCCAAACACTAGGGATGAAGTGGAGTTGGGACAGACAAGTTCCCTCAAAGAGCTTATGTTCTACTGGAAGAGACATTGAGCAGGCATTCTTTATCGTGCTTTGAAGGAAATAATTATAGCTCTGCAATAGAAAATAATGGGGATGGGAAGAGAGGCAGCTTTGCAAAGGGTGGTCAGAGGAAGCCTCTCTGCAACTGAAAGATGAGAGAGAGATGTGAGAAGAGCTAGGTTTTTGTTTTTGTTTTTGTTTTTTTTTTAAAGCCAGATAAGCAGCCTTGGGGCAGAAGGAAGAGAAGGCAGGGAGCTTAGCAACCTGTTGGGTGAAGGTTGGGAGTGGACAGTAGGGGCAAGTGATGATTCCAGGAGGTCAGAGGAGCCAACTCATACAGAGTCTTTTCTTTTCTTTTTTTAATTGGAAGGCATCAAGTGACATATAGAGTCAGTTAATTTTTTTTTTTTTCTTTTTTTTTGAGATAGTCTTGCTCTGTTGACCAGGCTGGAGTGTAGTGGCACAGTCATAGCTCACTGCAGCCTCGACCTTCTGGGCTGAAGCGATTCTCCCACCTCAGCCTCTTGAGTAGCTGGGACTACAGGTCCATTCCAGCGCACCTGGCTAATTTTTCTATTTTTAGTAGAGACAGGGTTTGTTCATGTTGGCCAGGCTGGTCTCGAGCCTCTAGCCTCAAGTGATCTGCCTGCCTTGGCTTCCCAAAGTGCTGGGATTACAGGCATGAGCCACAGTGCCTAGCCTTTTGTTTTCGGTTGTTTTTTTTTTGAGATGGAGTCTTTCTCTGTCACCCAAGATGGAGTACAGTGGCACGATCTTGGCTCACTGCAACTTCCGCCTCCCTGGTTCAAGCGATTCTCCTGCCTTAGCCTCTTGAGTAGCTGGAATCAGGCATGCACCACCACACCTGGCTATTTTTTGTATATTTTTAGTAGAGACGGGGTTTCACCATGTTGGTCAGGCTGGTCTCAAACTTCTGACCTCAAGTGGTCGCCTGCCTCAGCCTCCCAAAGTACTGGGATTACAGGCATGAGCCACTGCCCCCCACTGCGATACCCGGCCTTTTTAAACTACTTCTGACGTACATACAGCAGCATACAGAGTCCTGTAGGCCATGGTGAATAGGTGAAAGGGATGAATCAAGTTCTGGCTTAAGCAGTAGGGTACATGCGATGCCTTTTACAGAGATGGAAAGGATGGAGTCAGACGGGCTTTAGGAGAAATTAGAGTTCTGTTTCAGGACTGCTAAATTGAAGAGATGCAAATAGAGCTGTCAGGTAGGCAGTGGAAAAGGAGTCCAGACTTCAGGAGAGAACCTGTACTGGGAGCATGAATCTCTTGCTTGTTCCTGTTACTAAGTGAAAATATATATATATATTTTTTTTGAGACAAAGTCTGGCTCTGTCGCCCAGGCTGGAGTGCAGTGGCATGATCTCGGCTCACTGCAACCTCCGCCTCCTGGGTTCACACCATCCTCCTGCCTCAGTCTCCTGAGTAGCTGGGACTACAGGTGCCCGCCACCACACCCGGCTAATTTTTTGTATTTTTAGTAGAGACGGGGTTTCACTGTGTTAGCCAGGGTGGTCTTGATCTCCTGACCTTGTGATCCACCTGCCTCGGCCTCCCAAAGTGCTGGGATTACAGGCTTGAGCCACCGCGCCCGGCCGTGAAATATTTTTTTTGTTCTTAAATTCTAAAATAGACCAAATGTGAATTAAATGGTGAGAAATATTTCTCTTGTATCATTATTAGTGAAGATAGATCCATTCTTTCATATTGGTCTCCCTAGGAATTGTGGCAATCTCTTGCTCATACTTTTTGTTTCCTCTTTTAAACCAAAGGTCAGCACCTCATCTATGGACACTTTACCAAAGCAAGTGAAAATTGTGGAAGTTGGTCCCCGAGACGGTCTACAAAATGAAAAGGTAAAGATGGAAATGAGCCAGAAAAGTGTTTCAGGCATCTGCTTTGAGTATAACGTGTGGTAGGTGCAATGGCAGTGGACAGAGCTATACAAAATGATTCCTCTGTAGAGGAGGCCAAACAGGGACAGGCATCTGTGACGGTTAAATGATCTAAAATGGTGGGGCAAGCTGGGTGGGTGGCTCATGTCTATCATCCCTAATTACTTGGGAGGCTGAGGTGGGAGGATGGCTTGAGCCCAGGAGTTTGAGACCAGTCTGGGCAACATAGCAAGACTCCATCTTATTAAAAAAAAATGTATATACATATATATACATAAATTGAATGGTGGTGCAACAGGTTTGGTGTCCCCAGGTCCACAGCCCAGTGGGGTGGGGTAGGTGGTGTGGAGTGAAGGTGAGGGCATGCCTTTAGACCCAGCAATTCCATGTAATGGGATTTATCCAAAGCAAGTCATGAAGGCCAAATGTAGAGATTTAGCCTTGGGGGTGTTCCTTACAAACCTATTGGTAAGCGCAGAACTGTTGGAAATAATCTAAATGTTTCATATGAGGAAAGTTGGGTCAGATACATTATGGACTTCTTATAAAATGAAATATATGAAGCCATTAATAACATAGGTATATATAAAGTGACTCAAGCAGGTTATAAAAGAGTGCGTGTGGCTGGGCATGGTGGTGGCTCATGCTTGTAATCCCAGCACTTGAGGAGGCTGAGGCAGGCAGATCACTTGAAGCTGGGAGTTTGAGACCAGGCTGGTCAATATAGTGAAACCCTGTCTCTACTTTAAAAAAAAAAAAAATTAGCTGGGTGTGATGGCGCACACCTGTAATCCTAAGGCTGAGGCACAAGAATTACTTGAACCCAGAAGGCAAAGGTTGTAGTGAGTCGAGATCGTGCCACTGTACTCCAGCCTGGGTGACAGAGCACGATTCTGTCTCCAAACAAAAATAGTGCATGTGCGTGTTTGTGTGTGTGTGTGTGTGTATTTTTTTTTGGCGGGGGGAGACAGCGTCTCACTCTGTCACCCAGGCTGGAGTGCAGTGGCACAATCTTGGCTCACCACATCCTCCACCTTCCGGGTTCAAGTGATTCTCCTGCCTCAGCCTCCCGAATAGCGAGGATTACAGGACTCCACCACCATGCCCAGGTAATTTTTGTGTTTTTAGTAGAGATGAAGTTTCACCAGGTTGGCCAGGCTGGTCTTGAACTCCTGACCTCAGGTGATCCACCTGCCTCAGCCTCCCAAAGTGCTGGGATTACAGGCATGAGCCACTGCGCCCTGCCATGTATTTTTTTTTTCTTACACTTTTATGTAAGAAAAAAGTTTATATACATATGGGAACATTTATCTACACTAGGACCTAGACCAGCACTTTCTGTGAAGATGGAAATATTCTGGACGTGAGCTTTTCCATGTGGTGGCCACTACACCCATGTGGCCCTTGAGAACTTGAGATGTGACTAGTGTGGCCAAGGAATTGAATTTTTATTTTTACACAATTTTTATTAAATTGAAATAACCACATGTGACTAGTGACATATTGGACTGCACAGATCTAGAAAGTTACACACCAGGGTGTTAATAGTGTTATCACTGGGAGGTTCTAAGGGTAGTTTTCTTTTGTTTTTGGCATATTTTTCTGAAAGAATCATATATTGATTATTTTTCAATAAGAAAAGCTTTTTTTCTTTCCTTTTTTTTTTTTCTTTTTTCTTCCACTGACCTCGTGATCCCGGCCCGCTCCTCGGCCCTCCAAAAGTGCTGGGGATTACAGCTTGAGCCCACCAGCGTCACGCG